TAAGTGGTTCAAACTCTACGGTCAAGGTCAAACATATTTATACCTGTTGACAGTTCACAATGAATACACATGTTAAGCATGAAAGCCCTAGCACCTACTGATCAAAATTTAGGCCAAGTTTAAAGTTGGGTATTTTTCTTGTAAAAATGTGTATTCTAGGTCAAGTGATCAGAGGTAAAAATTAATGGTACCCAAATAAAAGGTCTTAATTGTCACAAGAAATAAACCTATAAAATGTGGAAGCCAATTGTATAGCCCATCCCACTTAAAACTTATGGGCAAGGTTATAATTTCTGCAGACAAATATACAGACATAATATAAACACAAGAAACAAAATATGTACATAATTAGTCAAATGGAAAAAAATATACTATTTAATTGGAATCACAAAATAGATTGTTATTTCAGGGATAGGGAGTGGATAGGGAGATTGGACCCCCCCCTGGAATTTCCTTTGTTATTTAAACAAGACTATATACTGAAGCAAATAAAAAATGATTTTGGACATCCTCCCCCTAACTAAAAAAACATTGGGTTTTTTTTTTGTTTATTTGTTTTCAGTGTATGATTTTTTTCTCCTGCTTGTCAGGAAATTCTAGGCATGAATATTTTGACTGAGATGTGAACCCCCCTCCCTACTCCCGAAAAAAATTCTGGATCCGCACCAGTATTGGCAGTAACTGAATGTCACATCGACAAGGGGAGATAACTTCACAATATGAAATTCGTCTAGTGTGGCATGCGATGATCTTTGACCCTTTTTGAACTTTAACCTAATCGTTTGGGTTTATTTTACCCCCACTATACTTAAACTTGTACTTACCGACCTCCATAGGTCCTGTAAACTTCATGAAATATAAATCCAATTATAACACAAAATGAATTAATCCAAAGCACACCATTCTGCAGCATGTTATAATGATATTCCATTCGGAAAACCTCCGTGCCGTCGATTCCGTCACCTTATCAGATGAAGTGGGAATCGGCCGAGGTGTACCGAATGGAGTTTAATCTAAAAATATGATAATGGGTGACGCAACGTGATGTGATGTAGAATTTACATGTCAAGAACAAATTTTAAATTAATTCATAACAAACACTGTTTTAACAAAACTGTTCCATCTAGCCTATTCCCAAAAGTATGTACTGTGTGATTGTGGTGTCGAGAGGGGGGGGGGGATTAGTAGATTTAAAAAGGTCCTAATATGAGCAAAACATTTATCAAAATCTAATTTACATTATTAATAGAATTCAAACTGGTATATAATGAATTAAGCATGTAAAATAAATATAAGAGGTTCCGAGTTATAGGTCACAGGGATAATTTCATACCCAATTTTATGAATACATATGTAAATTACAGGCACGTAGCAACCGGGGGGGGGGGGGGCTGCCCCCTTTTTTTCCCAACATTACCTGTACTATAAGAAAATGTCCATTAAAAAGATGGTTGCCCCCTCCCCCCACCTTTAACCACAGTATATACATTGCAAGGAAATATGGGAAAAATTGGAAGTGAAAGTAATTTTGCCTTGAAAAAAAAGTGGCCACCACCCCCACCCCCCACCCCCACCCCCCATTTAATTTTTTTTCCTTGTTAATTTTTTTAGGTTAGTAAAAAAATTTTTCTCAGGTTGCCCCCCCCCCACTTTCAAAAACGATGCTACGTGCCTGAATTATATAGAATTATTTTGACTTTTTCCTTGGAAAGCCGCCCGTAGGATTGTGTATTTAGAGGCAAACACCTTAGTGCGGGTATTACTGTCTCATGACAGCATCTAGTGTTTGTTGTTAACGTCTTATTTTGTTAAATTTTGTTACATGAAATACGTCACGGGGCATTGTGTTTTTGCGTCGCTTTACTATGACGTCATAATGAAAAGCTTTCACTCTCGTTAATGCTCGTTTTACTGCTTCAAACATCAGTGCATTAGCCAGTCAAAACGTGTTTTACAAAACAATTGCATTAGATTAAAAGATAAATCTACAACATCTCATAATGCCGAATTTATGCATACGATCGATGTCAATCAAAAATCAAGTATAGTTCGTCACATTCTACAATGAGGAGCCCCATGCCAAAGTTTAGTGGTTAATATCGAGCGTATCCACTATGATCAGAAATTCCTGCGCAAACAGATTCTAGTGTGCATCAAGTTATTAAATCTGTTAACTATTCTTAGCGAAAAATATTACATTCTTTCATCAAGCTTTAACAATCTTTTCTGTGTTGTAAGATTGTAATGGTGCGAACTGGTTTATCAATATAACCCTAAAATGTTCAATAGATGCAGAGTTGGATGCAAGGAGCCATTCAAGTGGTATAATGATTGTTGCCCGAAATCTTGACATAATCTTGTAACGAATGGCCGAGTACCTTTCAATTGCAGAATAAAACGATTTTGCTTACGTGAAAAGGGTATAAGATGGCTCTTTAACGTTTATCCCTTGGAGAATCTTCAATAACAATTAAAGTATTCTTTAGTTTAAGAGCTATACCACTCCACACCAATATAAGGGAACCTCCCCCAAACTGAATTTTTCACGATGCATGCTTTGGGAAAACATTTACCTTTACGTTTATACACCTCCTTCCAGCTGCCCGGCAGGAGGGTGACTCTAATCAAGTACAGAATTTTGGCATATCTCCGGTGTTATTAGGGGAATCACCTTAGATTAAAAACTATATATCCAATCCATTTCGATGTTTCACTACAATTTATTGCACAGTCTGTAGGATACGACCCGCGATGATACCTAACGTCTTACTGTTTTTGCATTTATTCGAGCATTGTTGCTTCCTCCCGTAGAAGTCTCTACAGTCGTTTAGATTTCAAGATGAATTACGGAGCCGCCTCAAGCGCGACTTTTTCGACTTCTTGTGAATATTTTTCTTGGAAGAAAACAAAAAGATGACTTTGCAGCGTTAAAATGTTCTTTCACGGAAATTGTGTCTTACCCTTGCAAAGTAGCTATGCTTTAGGCCTCTGTTATTCATTTAGGCATAGTGTTGTTGGCAGTTGCGGTAAAAAGGGCATCAATAATGACGATAAATAATACCGGCTTACATTCACACCCAGACTGTTGCCAAAATTTTGTGATATGTTCTTGATGATTAATGTTGGATATAAAATGCGTTTCTTTTCCTTTCAAGTTATCTTTGTCTATTATTATCCTATTTGTACTGTTTAAAACTAGTAAATTGCTTGAGATAACTGTAACTGTCAGTGTTCATCAAGAGACTATGAAACAAAAGACATCGAAACAATTTGTCATTGATGAAACTCTGTAATGAAAGGTTTTATAATGACAAGGAAATGCAAATGTCAAAAATGAAAGCAAAAATTGTGAAGGTTGAACAAATCAATAAATTCCTATTTCGCTGATGATTTTTTAAATAACTTTCACGCTACCTCAATAGTTATTCACCTCTGATCATTTGGGTAATAGTATGAATACAATTTTCTTTTCAGAGATAAAACTTATGACGTTTTCATCAATGATCGTCTGCTTCTGGAGTATACACTTGCACAGCACGACAACTGTTCAATCAAATTTAGTGGTCATGACTTTGGAGAAAATCTCTACGCATTCGGATTGAATAGAGATGCAATTCATCTGACGGTACAACAGCATTTATTTCCTTTAGCTTTTCGCTAAAGTTTTATTTGGTTAGTAAGAAGGGTTGGAAATTTCCGTTCAACCGGATTGAGTCTGTGGTAAATCAGGTGACGTCACACTACCTAGTAAAGGAAATAAATATGACATGATTCTGTTTAGCACGTAGTGATATAATTTGAAGCATCATTGATTTCATCTGGGTTTACAACTCGTGGCTAGATGACTCGTGGACAGGTTAAAGATATAATCGACACATTTAAGCTCAATTTTGTTATATTATTTGAATGGTTGCACTTTACGATTTCTGAAAACAATTCGCTACTCAATAGAAATGCTCTGATTACGATAAATGTTTAAACCGAGGCAGGTTACTGACATAGAATCTGATGTCTCAGGATTTCAACAAATCGATGGAGAAGCTTAGCTTTCAAATTCTGGAAAAGTTTTTTTTTTACATTGTTTTACTTAGACTTCAAAGGGATCTTGTGCTATATAATCACAAGGGGTACTTGCCTTAACAACAAAGACAGACATGGTCATACACGTATTCTTATCTCAATCTTAGCTTGAATATGGCCAGAAAGAAAGTACAAACATCAGAGTGCCTTCTTGAATAAGAATACCAGAAACAAAGGGATAAAGCTTTTTGATACTTCTAGATTTTTTTTATTACTAGGATAAATTTAATTTCATGTAAGTATTTTTTTTTTTACAGGAGAACATGTCTTCGTTAATTCTGAGTTACCTAGAAGGCGGACAAGTAACAGAAGCTATGCAAAGATATATCAAAAACCGGAACTGTGCAGCTCAAGGTGAGCGCTTTACCCGGAAGTATGGTTTGGATCACACGGGAGGCTTGTTCATCATTCTCTTGTCGGCCATGTTTGTGGGTGCACTCCTGCTTATCGTAGAGCTTTATATATTCAAGTATCTTGTACCATATCTGCGTAAAAAGCCCAATGACAGCTTGTGGAAAAACAGAAATATTGAATATGTTAATCAGGTAATAATTATTATAATGATAATATATCTTTAATACTCAGTCAATACAACCTTAGGCAAGACAACACGTCAGTCTATATACTAGTAATTTAAAGATTGTACAAATGTTAAAATGGATAAATATGGAGATAAAGAACAATATTCAAGCTCAAAAAAGTCCATTAAACAATACTAAATTAGAGCAGAGCAAACACGGACCTCCAAAACATCAGAGGTGGAATAAGATGCAATGGAGGAGTAAGCATCCCCTGCTGACCAGTCACAATGAGGCGTTTGCCCCTTGTCGTGACCTGAAAATAACGGAAAAATCCGTCAACAATTCAGTGCGTAAGTAATGGCATGATAATTAGTATGAAAAACTTCAGTCAGCATTTGACTTCATTTGATTGTATTCGTTGACAAGGTCATTGTACCGACCACAGAAGTAACGAAATGATGACTTTAAACGAGACTGCTGATATTCTTGTTTCATCAACTTGTTTGTCAGTAATTTACCTCGTTTTAGAGATTTTTCATACGTAGAGCATACGCTTGTGTATTGAATCATAGAGATATAATGCCATATGCAGGTATATGAAGGTATTTTTTTTGCATAATTAAGGGAAGTTGAAGCTCTAAAAGTTAAAGTCATCATGTTTATCATAAGGCTTGGATGTTATATTACCATTAATGTCTTTGATAGTAAATTATCTAAATAATTATGAAACAGATGTGTCAGACTCTGTAATATCTTTTATTTCAAGCTCATGGAGTTATATCATATCAAAATTAGAATGAAAATCACCTTGTTAATTGACAATACGTCGTCGTTTTCTGAAGGCCACAGCAAGTGTTTTCTTCATTTCGCATAAAAACATTTTGGGCAAATTCTGCTTTAATACAAATTCAAAAATAGATTTGCTAATAACTGGGCGTAATTGATATAATAAAATCAGTTATATAATAATGATATATTATTGATTATAATAGTCAAATAACATTTTCACGTAGCAATAAGGATATCATTTACATTTTTCTGTGCAAAAAAACTTCTCTGCTAAAATCTCAGAAAAGAAGGTATTTCAAGTATTATTAATGTTTCTTTTAAAAAAATTCTAAAAAAAAAACTATTTATTTAGATTTACGTAAATATTTAAAATTTTTAAATTATTATTAATACATGATACCGCTCTTAAAAAATTTGCTGCCATTCGAGCTAAATCTATGTATCTATAAAATATGAATGCTGCTGTCATAAATCTGCTAATATACTGACACGCAAAAGAAACGCAACAAGTAGTAATCTACAAATGTTTGTTTTTTTTATCTGATGATTATCAAAAGCGAATAAAGTAAGGCTAAACTCACTTTTCAGAACTTCAGAGATTTGATAAAAATGTTAAATGTTTATCTGTTTACTTTACTAAGTAAAATATGACTGTTAAAACACCCCCCTCCCAGCCATTCAAGTAAAACGTGCAAGACTGCCCTAAACAACAATTGCAGCTTAATTTCTACGATACAATATGTTCATTAATATCGAGATCTGAGCGAAGGAATTATTCTTTGGCATTTTTAAATGCCTGTTATTCAGATGATTAGGTCGAATTTTCTCTGTCCTTACTGCATATGATACGCAAGACCCTGTTGAGGCGTAATGTAGTGAAATTTCGCATCAGCAATTCTCCATCACCTTTACATTGAAATTTTCCAGCCAGAGCAATGGAAATGCGTAAACAAGCCATTTCCAAGTAGCCTTAGCATCGTTACGGGAAACGAAAGGAGAGTTTATTTTTTGAAATATTGCTGCATTACATCTGATGAACAGTAAAAAAAAACCCTTAAAACTCCATAAAATTGCCAAATGTTTTGTTAAACATGTAATTTTTGATTTCTGTTAAGCAGACTAAAACTTGACTTCCGGTTATGGTTTGGAAATTATTCAACCGTTAAATTACCAATGTTTACCAAATTAAAGATATTCATAATTTTAAGATGCAAGATTATTTACTTTACATAATTATTTCCCCGTAAAGAAGGGTGTTGCGTTTCTTTTGCGTGTCAGTATAATATACAATGGCTGTCCTTAAAGTATTATTGGCATTTTGATTTGCTGGCAATATCAAATCGTTGACGTTTATATAAGCTGCCTTTACAAAATTGCAGGTATTTTTTGTGTTATATCATCTCTTGTTGATAGTTTTAGTTACAGAAATTTACAATTTTTATGAGCAGAAAGCTGTGCTGGATGTAAACAAAATTCAAATGAACCTTCCAATTTCCTTCAATGTGATACCTACTCAAATGAAAGCATTTACTTCTATGAAACGTGACGAAGATATATATTAAACAGTGCCCATGTGCAGTCTTTTTAAACTTTACAATAGCTAGCAGAGCCCACAGGGGTGTCTGAAGATATTAAAGGTAGAATCATTGTTGTTCGCCCCTTCTAATGATAAGGAAAACGTAAAAAAAAAAAAAACGGTAGATTATTCAGTATGTCAAACAATTTTTAAGGGTTTTCAGTCAACATTCAGTCTATAACGGGATATTGTATTTGTGAACAAAGTAAGACCATTGACCATAAAACGTCCGAAATTTTTAATTGATAAATTAAAAATTTGAAATCACAACATTTTAACATCACGACATTTAGATATATCGACGACGTATTGTTAATTAACAATGGCTATTTTCATTCTTATATCAATACCATATATCCCGGTGAGCCTGAGAGATACCTCAGAGTCTGACACATCTGTTTTATATTTGGATATTTTACCTAAAAAACAGACGTTAATGGTAATCTTAAAACCACGCTCTATGATAAATCGTCAACTTCCCTTACTTACGCATCAGTGTAGCTTCTTTACCTGCCCACGGAGTTTATATTTCTCAGTTGATTCGATACGCAAGAGCATGCTCTACGTATATATAGTTTCTAAGTCGAGGTGAATTATTGACAAACAAGTTGATGAAACAAGAATATCAGCAGTCTCGTTTAAAGTCATCGTTTCCAAAGTACTATGATCGATTCAATGACTTTTCAGCAAATACAATTTATAATTTAGTCAAATACTGACTGACGGTATCATACTAATGATTAGTCCATTATTTACGCACTGAATTGACGACGGGTTTTCCGTTATTTCCCGATCATGACAAGGAGCAGACGGCGGATATGACCGGTGGGCAGGGGATGTTCACTCTTCCATGGCAGCTGATCCCATCTCTGATGTTTTGGAGGTCTGTGTTTGCTCAGTTCCCATTTTGTATTGCTTTATGGACTTTTGAGCTTCAATACTGTTCGTTAACTTTATATACCCACAAAAACATCAAAACGTAAGATTTTTCAACACTTCATACAACTATTCAACACGAAAATTTAAGTCGTAGCGATTTGAAGCATTAACAGCTGTTTTTCATAAAAATTGGAACTCGTAAATCTTGATTAATTGTCAATGGCAATTTTCATAACTATTTGGTTATAAAACATTCTGATTGTACACACAAGTATTCTAAAGTTAATTGATAATAAAAGATGCTTGAGTGTCTGATTGAAAATATCTTTGTCGTTTTTGGAGACCACGTCTTCCAACAATCTGCCGGAATTCCCGTTTGTACTATTTTGCCCTGTTATTAACAGATCTATCTCTGTATTTATGTGAATGCAGATTTTATTTTTTCAAAATCTTAGGTTATACACAAGGAAAGGAAACAATTGCTTTAGCCCTCGACATTTAGATATATCAATGACATATTGTCAATTAACAAAAGTTACTCCCATTCATATGTCGACTGGATATAACCCACTGAGCTTGAATTGAAAGTTACCACAGAGTCTAGTGCATCTGTTTCATCTTTGGATATTTTACTTGAAAAAGACGTTAATGGTTACCCAACTAAAAAGCTTTGTTAAAAATCGTCAACTTTCCTTAATTATCTAGCAGCGTACCCTTATCGGTACCCTTATAGGGTTTATGTCTCTCAGTTGATTCGATATGCAAGAGCAAGTTCTACGTAAAAAGTTTCAAAAAATATGTATACTATAGAAAAACAGGCTGATGAAAGAAATATACCGATAGTCTCGTTTAAACTCATCGTTTTGGAAGTTCTTTGGTTGATACGATGACCTTGCCAGCAAATCCAATTTATCATTATATTGAATCCTGTCTGATGTTGTTAGTAATAGGTCTTTATTTACGCAGTGAATTATCTACGATTTTTTTTCGTTTTCCCCAATCATGTCATGGTGGTTGTGACCGGTAGGCAGGCGATGATCACTCCTTTAAGGCACTTAGTCCCCACCCTGATGTTTTGGAGGTCCATGTTTGCTCTGCCCATGATTTGAATGGATGACTGAGCTACAGTATTCTATGTTTTCTTCATTTTCCATTTACTTCTGGAATTCCATGTTTTAAGACCGCAGAATGCGAATTAGTTAGAGAGTTATCTTTCTTAATGCATTTTGAAGCGACCACTATTTTATATTCTACTTCATCACTGTCCAGTTCATTACAGAACCACATGAGATAGTGCTAGCCTATCTGGCCTCAGTGCGCTTTTATCTGGGCTTCAGTGCAGATGTGTTTATTTTAAGCAGCAGCGATTTTCCCGCGGTTTATTAGTGAACAAAGGATTTTGTTATTTTTTATTTAATTGTTTTATTACTCATCATGGCTACTGGCCGTGAAGAGGATGCCCTACTGGGGTCATTTGATGATGATTTAACATCAGATTCAAAGCAAATTTTTAATGCTTTGATTAAAATTCAAAGTACTATGGACACAGTTGCTACTGGCATTAATAAAATGGGGGATGCTTTTTCCGCATTAGCGGCAGCAGGCCCCAAACCTATGGTTACTGACCAGCCTTCCACTTCCAACAAGCGTTCTGCTGATTCAATGGAGGAGGGGGAGGCAGATGACTCTGAGTATGACGATACTGATGATATTATGAGTCTTTTGGAATCCGGAAATTCCGGAGCCAAAGCTGATCTATTGGATGATCAGCAGAGTGGTTCAGTGTTAGAAGAAATGGACGCCCTTTTAGATGATGATGATGATGATGTTGGTTCAGCAATTTCTGAAAAATTGGCCAATATAACTAACAAAGCATTTTCTAAACAGCATTCTATTGATGCTGTAAAGAAAAAGAAAGAGTCACACAAGAGGCCAAAGAATTGTGAAAAAGTCATTGTGCCTAAAGTCAACAAAGAAATTTGGCGCCAAATGCACAAACAAGCTTTTACAAAAAAGCGTGACTTAAGATTGATGAATGTTTTGAGTTTGATCACTTAGTCAACTTGTGCAATAGTTGGTGTAGCAAACAAGTTGTTGAATTTGGATGGCCAGAAGCATGATGCAGAAATAAGAAATTGTCTTGATGCAATTTATTTATTAGGCCATGCGAATACCACTATGTCTATGCAGCGGAGAGATTTATTAAGACCAGTACTTAAAAGTGATTATGCTGCATTATGTGACAGCAATGTCCCGGTTACGTCTTTGCTTTTCGGAGATGACCTTCCTAAGTCTCTGAAGGAGGCTCGTCAAGTAGGCAATGTTGGAAGGGATTTTTCAAAAAACGGGAAGAGATTTGGGTTCAGTCAGAGGAACAAGAGCGATTTTTCTTGGAAAAAGAAGAATCAAAGTCAGCAGAAGAGATTCAAGAAAGATCAGTAACAGAGACCCTGACTGAGGTAAAACTTCAATCTACTACATCTGACGAATATGCAAGTTTTATAGAAAAAACTATTTTGAATGCTAAAAGAGACATATTACAGTTTGAAGGTGGCAGAATCATGCATTTTATAGATCAATGGACTGAGTTCACTTCAGATCCAGAAATATTGAGCATTGTGAAGGGTATTGAACTTGACTTTATTAGTAAACCAGTTCAAAACATTAATGCAATGCATCAATGCAAATTTGATATGACAGAGAAAAAAGCAATTGATGACGAAATACAAAAATTACTTGATAAAAAAGTAATTGTGGAAAGTGAAGAGGAAAAAGACCAGTTTGTGTCTCCTATATTTTTAAGACCTAAAAAAGATGGTAAATACAGGTTGATATGCAACTTGAAACATTTGAATAAATTTATTCAGTATCGCCATTTTAAAATGGATTCACTGGTGTCAGTTCTAAGGATGATAACACCAAATTGTTACATGGCTTCTATTGATCTAAAAGATGCATATTACTGCATACCGGTTGCAGATGTTTATCAGAAATATCTTAAATTCTATTGGAATTCAAAGCTTTACATGTATAGAGCATGTCCTATGGGCTTATGCATGAGCCCTCGGTTATTTACAAAGGTACTGAAACCAGTTTTTTCAAGGCTTAGACAAAATGGCCATCAATCTGTAATTTACATTGATGACATTTATTTGCAAGGTGACAATGCTCAAGCATGTCAGGAAAATGCAATTGCTACAGCAAACATGCTGGTTAATTGTGGATTTGTCATTAACCCTGAAAAATCTGTTTTTCAGCCAAGCCAAGAAATAGAATATCTAGGTTTCCTACTAAACTCAGTAGAAATGACAATTGCAATTACAGAAAGAAAGGCATTGAAAGTTGTTACAATTTGTGATGAATATCTTAAATCAAAAAGAAATTCAATTAGAGATCTTAGCACTGTTATTGGAAACTTGGTGGCAAGTTTTCCAGCTGTATCACATGGACAGTTGTTTTATCGTCAATTAGAGAATGAGAAAATTTTGGCTTTAAAGATGTCAAGGGGTCAATTTGATGCTAAAGTTCATTTATCAAATCTAGCAATTAATGACTTAGAGTGGTGGAAACTAAACATTGTGGGCTCTAAGGCCCCAATTACCCGAGGTCAATCGGATTTGATAATTGAAACTGATGCAAGTTTGCAAGGCTGGGGTTGCAATTGTCAATCACTGAGCATATCAACAGGTGGCCCATGGAAAGAATCCGAAAAGAATTATCATATAAATGTTTTAGAACTTCAAGCTGTTTATTTTGCATTGCAATCAATATGTAATGATAAGAAAGATATGCACATAAAGCTTTTAATTGACAATACAACTGCTGTAGCATATATAAGAGAACAAGGAGGTAGTCGCTCTTTAGAGTGCAATAAAATGGTCCGAAAAATTTGGACTTGGGCATATGAGAAAAATATTTGGCTTACAGCTGCTCATATTCCGGGGAAAATAAACTGCAAGGCAGATTTTGAGAGTAGACATTTTAAACAGGAATATGAATGGATGCTTAATAAACAAGTTTATCAATCAGCTTGTGATAAATTGAATTTTAATCCAGATATTGATTTGTTTGCTACACGCAATAATTGGCAATTAGAAAAATTTGTGTCGTGGAAACCAGAGCCTGAATCTTTTGCAATTGATGCTTTTTCTATTTCTTGGGCTGACATGAAATTATACTGTTTTCCACCTTTTAGTTTGATACCTTCGGTTTTACAGAAAATAGTGTTAGATGAAGCCACAGGTATTTTAATAATGCCAGATTGGCCAACACAACCATATTATGCAACTGCAATGAAAATGCTCATAGAAAATCCAATCTTTGTTCACAGGAGGAAAACTCTGTTGGGCATACCGGGAACAACGCAGATACACAAAATATGGGAAAAGTTGAACTTACTAATATGTCTGTTATCAGGAGATCAATCCAGAGTAAAGACTTATCGGAGCAAACTAAAGACATTTTGTTGTCTTCATGGAGAGAAAAAACAACTAAACAATACGAGTGTTACCTCCGTAAGTGGGAGACATTCTGTAGTGGACGGGAAGTTAATCCCTTTTCAACACCTGTGAAGGAAGTTTTGGAATTCTTAACTTTTTTATACGAGAGTGGCATTGGCTATTTTGGGATAAACACAGCAAGAAGTGCTTTATCGTCAGTAGTTACTCTTGTTGATGCCGTGCATTATCCAGTGGGACAGCATCCCTTAATTAAAAGATTTCTCAAGGGGGTTTTTAATAAGAGACCTACTTTTCCAAGATATTCAGAAATCTGGGATGTTTCAGTAGTGTTCAACTGGATGAAAACAATTAATTTTGATGATATGTGTTTGAAGTTGTTAACGCTAAAGACAGTAATGCTTTTAGCTTTATTATCTGGACAAAGGGTACAAACCCTTAAAGCGTTATCAGTGGAAAATTTAAAATTTACGGATTCTTATGTAGAATTTAGAGTTGATTCTTTACTTAAACAAAGCAGGCCTGGGTTTCATTTGAATAAACTCGTATTACCGGCTTATGAGGACAGAAATTTGTGTATAGTCCAACATTTGAGAAAATACATTGACATGACAAAAGAAATAAGGAACACTGATTCATTATTAATTAGCTATCAAAAGCCCCATGCGTCAGTATCATGTGACACTATTGCTCGCTGGATAAAATCGGTGCTTAGCAAAAGTGGTGTGGATGTTAATGTTTACACTGCGCATAGTACACGTGCTGCGTCGACATCTTGCGCAGCTTCAATGGGATGTCCAATAGACACCATACTGGCACAAGTGGGCTGGGCTAAAGAAAAAACTTTCGCCAAATTTTACAACAAAAACTATAATGCGGAGAACATGTCTTTAGGACAAACAATATATAAGTGCATTGATAAATAAATGTCATGTTTTGAAATACAGTGATGTATATATACTTATATAAGTAGATTACATTGTAGCAATAAATTGAATTGCATTCAATGTTTTTATTACATTAATAGCCTCAGAGCTTTAAAATCTCATGTGGTTCTGTAATGAACTGGACAGTGATGAAGTAGAATTGGAAATTAAACGAAACTTACCTGGAAGTTGAAGTTTGATTATAATTCTACGAAATCACTGGAAAGGAATGGAGGAATCACATGCCCGACCCTGTAAAATTTGTTATTTTTCCCTACCCTTTTGTGTATTTACATCATCGGCTATTAATTGGATTTAAATACTGAGGCCAGATAGGCTAGCGCTATCTCATGTGATTCCTCCATTCCTTTCCAGTGATTTCGTAGAATTACAATCAAACTTCAACTTCCAGGTAAGTTTCGTTTAATTTCCAATTGTATTGGATAAACTTCTTACAGATCTGAGAATGCAAAAAAATTGGCTTTGCTTTTTTTCCCCAGCTTCTGAATAGGATACTCAAAAGGATGACTAAGCAGGAATAGAATTACTTTGTTCATTTTAAAGAAAAATACAATTTCCGATAATGCGTTCTGTAGTTTGAATTTTAAAACTTATACGTGGATACCTTTACCCCTTTTCCCGTTCATATCACTCATTGGATTTTTTTTGATATCCCACTGCTGTGACGTCACAATGGCATTTGCTTGCGATAATTGAAGTCAATTAAAAAAAAAAATTGCACTGTATAAATCTTGGGATGAGGAATATCACATGATTTATAGTTGGATTTGATTTTTATCCGACTTCTTGTATGTTTTTATCCCCTCGACAAGGCGGTCCATGGATAAAAAGAATCAAATTCAACTATATATCATGGGAGATCCTATATTTCTTTGTTTAGCGGTTGAATGACCACACACTCGTATATCAAAGAATATGTTAATGTTTTTCTTTCAAAAACGCAATGTATTAGAATTTTCTTAACAGCCCTTGTATTGTTAATTCAAAACCTTACAAATAACACTTAACTTTTTTTCTACAGAGACTGTATCGCACGTTGATGAGTGAGCGGTTAGTGTCTCCACAACAGACAGCACAGGAGATGATCAAAATGGTTAGGGAAAGACGATTCGACAGACTCTTCCTCAAAAACGAACTCCGAGATCATGTATGTCAAATAATATGGAAACATTTGTTATGTAGATATCTTAACTCCTCTGTGAATTTATTTAAACAATAAAATGCTTTCTTTGGTTGTTAGTACGGGAATGAATGTAGCAGCTGTTGCAGAAAAAAAATATAACCCGCGTAAACGGGTTATGTAAATTTTTTCTGCAATAGCTGCGACATTCCTTCCCGTACTAACAACCAAAGAAAGACTTTTTATTGTTTATATTTATATCTATTTAAATAATCATTTAAAAGAGGATTAAAAAGATTAATTATTGTATTAATGATGCGAACGTCTTTGTACGTTTCATTGATGGAATAGCCACTGTTCTAGAAATCTGTATAGGTGACATGCCCAGTGTAGTTCATGCACTGATTAACGCAATGGGTTTTCTTAAGAAATAAAGGAGAAAATATTCAGTGGATGTAAATATTTATGACGTAAAATTTATTCAGATATTGAATTCTTTCATAACAATTATTTTTACTTCCTGACTCTACTGGGTACGTGTAATTTTCCTTTTCAATATTTAGCAAGTGACGTCTGTTTACATTTCCTCGTTTTCTTTTATTAATAATCTAAGATGTAAATTTGAACGTCCACATCTACACCAAAAATGAGTCCACTTTTAAGATAAACATGTTTTGTAGAATTAAACAAAGGAAAATATAAGTTTAAAAGTTCACCTCATCGAGTGTTACCGTAAGGTATGTCACTCGTCAGCTTTTTAGAAAAGTTCACGCAGAACCTCTTACTTCAAAACTATTTATTAAAATTCAATATTTATAACATATTTAATTTCAACAATGTTAATGTTTTAACATTCAACGAAAAAACTGGTCAAAAAGCTACAAAGAAGCAAGATTTATGAGGGACTATTTCTTGTGGTGGAAGGATATTTACCAGAAAATTCTGTAAATCTGCACATTTATTCAATTTAATATCTTGGAACTTTAGCCTCACGTACTTGTACTCAGAGAATATTTTCCATTATGATATTGCTAGGAATATTTAATAGAGGTCATAATTTATATTTTTAGAACAGGTTTTACACCTTCCTTCAACAAACTTTGCCAAAAAATGAAGATATGTCAAATAAGTCAAGATAAAATTTACACCAATTTTCGCCTGAAAATCACATATTTTGACCAATATTTCAAAATTAATATCACTGACCCCAACTTATTTTAAAGTACTCCATACTTGTGACTGATCAGCACTTAAGTCGTAAAACGCTTGATTTAAGACAATGTTTATTGCCTATTTAGTTTTTTAATACCCCAAATATGTAACTTTTTAGTGCAAAAAGGTCACACAATAATTTACGCGATTTATTTGCAAAATTTGTTCAATGATAAATATTATTCAAAATATTGTACGTAAAATAAAATCATATATATTGCCATGGTCACATCTGATAAAATATGATAAAGGTTAAAGTAATTAACCAAAGAGTTAAAATTTAAATGCAAAAAGGTCAACTTCATTGTACCATAGATCAGTAATATGAACACTGACCCCCTTCTGCGATTTTTAGTCACTCTGTATGAGTACTTATCAAAAATATATTTCTCAAAAAATCCTTGATTTAACAAATTTCGCGAGTGTCATACCTTAAAGTAAGGCAATGTCTCGCACAACGCTTATATTTTTTAGAGTGCAATATACAACGTTTATGCAAGAACATTTTGGTATAGGCTTTTATTTACTTGGGAATGGATCTGCTTAAAAAAACTTTTTTCTATTCAATCACCTGAAAATGTAATTAGGATTTAGTATCCAAACCAAGTCTGGTAGCGTCATTGTGTGCATCCCAAGATGTATTATCTAAACTGCTTTGGTCAGCATAGAGCTTGTATTGACAGAAGATTGAATGACTGAAACAATAATATCAGCAGTCTCGTTTAAAGGCATAATTTCGTAAGTTTTATAGTCGATACAATGACTTTGTCAGCAAATACAATTTATCATTAAGTCAAATGCTGACTGACGTTTTTCATGCTAGTTGTTAGGCCATTATATACACATAGAATCGTCGACGAATTGTTCCATTACTTCCCGATCATGACAAAAGAGCATACACCGGATGTGACCGGTCGGCAGGGGATGCTTACTCCTCCATGGCACCTGATCCTACCTGTTTTGGAGGTCCGTGTTTGCTCTGCTCCTATTTTGTATTGTTTAGTAGACTTTTGAGCTCGAACGCTGTTAGCTATCTCCATATATATACTTCATAAAAAACATTAAAATCAGTCACCCTTAATGTACTTTAGATCCAGAATCGGGAGGAAGTTCTGTGACTTTCATCCCTAGATGAACCATTAATTGTCAAGTCAGGATTATTAGTTATTTTGGAATGCTGTAGCTGTACAAGCTTTAAATGCGTTCATTTATTACAATGTATGAAAACACAGGTCAAAGACAGCATCCAAACAAGTCTGGCAGTGTTCATCCCTATGATATTTATATTTATATAAAATATGTTTTGGAGCCATTTTTTGAAATATGATTCTATATGCCCAAAAGTGATCAGAGTTGCATGGTGGGTACATCTATTACATTTCCAGTACCCGTTAGACTTTGAACAGATACTGTAATTTCAGCCAATATCTTGGATTGATGTTTTGGATCAGATTGAAGTATTTGAAGAAGATCTCAATTTGCAAGTAACTTTTACCAATATGGTAAACAAACACGTACGTATGACGCGTTTATGAATGGACACTACCAGACTTGTTTTTGCGGTAAATAAGAGTTTTTCTCTGGATATGTGACCATGTTGAGTTTGTGTAGCATGTTCTCTCCCAAAAAACTGTTAGCATTAGACCAAAATCATATGTATGATGGATCTGTTCAAAGTCTAACGGGTACTGGAAATATAACAGATGTACCCCCCATGCAACTCATCACTTTTGGGCATATAGAATTATATTTTTAAAAATGGCTCTAAAACACTACCGATTGGCAATTCAGATTTAGAACCATTAATGTTGATTGCAAATGAGTAGGTTGAGTAGTCCACTTTGATGCCTTAATTTCAGGTCATTTCTTACTACTTATAACAGCTGTGTGATTCACATGATCAATTACCCATCGTTGACTTAGATTATAACTAACTTTATAAACTGGAAGAAATTACGATTAGGAAATTCAAACGTTCAAATTATTTAATATTCCGTTCTTTAACAAATCAATTAATGTTTTTGTAAAATTTGTAAATATACCATAAAATTTACATTTAAAGACAGATATAACCTTTTGAAATTTTATCTGGATCACATAATCCATATTTTTCTAGCTTGTGTGATTTACTACCAGACAAGGCAACAGCTGAATATGATTATATTGCTCTTGAGATTTCAACATGTGGATCGTTTCTTCAAATCGACGGCGATACATCAGCTTAAACAGAAAAATATGATGTCTTAAGTTTGCATGAAATATGAGACTCTGGCGAATTTTGTATGACCTTTAAAATGTAGCCATCCTTCTTAATGTGCGTGTTTGTCATTATTAGGACATGAATTGGTGTATAACTATGAATACATAAACGACACATTGCGTGAATGACATTTTTTTGTAATCATTATTTCTCTCACAGGGGAAGATACACAAGAAGGGGGTTCCAAAGGGTCTTAGACTGATAGATATTACAGACAACTTGATAAGGTGAGTTTATGTCAACATCTGCAGTCACTTTCATATTCAATAATTTAGCATAATTTTTATTTGCCCGTAATCGAAGATTCGGGGGTATATAATTTTTTTCTAGTTTGTAATACTACTGGTCGGAAGGAACATTTTCTGTATACTCTTACCGATGTTTCCTAAATGTCCAGAACATAATTTATACTTTATTTGTTTTATGCAGATCGAAGAAAGCGGAATCAGAAATATTTGCCACCACTTCCTCCAGTAATTTGTATTCTATCAATGAACAGGAATATGATGACGATTCACTCAGTGACATCAGTGATTACGCAACGGGTGACGAACAGGATATGCAAATTTCTTTTGAAGATATAAAAGACACAGTACTAGACAGCTCGGATGTGCCGATTAACAATCAAAGACATGCTCAGTCGTCTTGTCCTGAGACAATTCGAACGAATTCGCTGAAGGTCACCCCAGGTCAGTATGTACGCTGTAAGCAGTCTCGTGTTCGGTACAGTTCTGACTCCAATTTAGGAGGATCACACTCGAATTCATCATATAGACGGAATAAATCATGTCCTAATTTTCAAAAACGTCCAACTAAAGAAGAAAAGAAACAGAAGATGTATGAAATAGACGAGATTGAAATGTTAGAAATAGCAGCCCGACCTGATAAAACAAAACTTATTCGCAAATCAAAGAGGGCCAATATCGGCCGGGCATTCACATTTTACGGAAAATCTCTGAAAGACAATAGGCTGAAATCGTCCATCCGGAGTCATGCCATGGCAACTCGTCGGCATTCAGAGTCCGCGTTTGACGATTGTGCAGTGGATGCCCTCTCTAAAGAAGACCTGTTGGTTTTATGGAAGAAATCAGAGATTGAGTTACAGACCAGTCTAAACAGAGTTACACAGGAAAATGCCCACTTAAAGCGTCTTCTCCGGGTAGTGGAGGTGTCGGAATCCGTACCCAGGGAAGAGGTGTCGAAAGAGGAACCTGCTCACATCACTGCAACACCACTGTAAAATCTCAGTCATAGTCTGTAGTTACATGATTACTTCATTCATGAACAACTTCATGTACGAATTGTACCTACTTAAAACCTCATGCATCTTTGTTATCAATTAATATCATCCTGTCACAACATCCTGTCACAATAACAATGACATGGATCCCCATGGAAAGTTTTAAAGATGTTTTCAAACATTTTATTCTGTACGCAAACCTGTGATTCATATGTTTTGTTACTTAATATACACACTGTTTTTACATGTGATACAATTGTTCATTCATTGAATATGCATTTATAGTTTATAAACATAGAACAAATGCCTTCTCTCTTTTACTCCAAAGAAAAAGAATTTGATATATATGGTATATGCAAAATAGTTCATTTTTATGTAAAATAATTACACAAGTTTATAAGGTTAGGTCAGCTGTAATGTTGTGATAGTTAAATTAATTGCAATAAACATGCTGGCATTTGTTTTTCTCCTTAACATAATACTGTTCATATAGAAGTGATAAAACTTGAAATGATGCTCTTATATGATACTGGTTTGCTAGAATTTATGTTTGCCTTCAGATAACATTTCTGTCCTAAAAGACGAGAAAGAATAGTTGTAGTTTGAGGATAATTATAAAAATTATCCATTAATTATCTCTATTTTCATGTTTTGATATTGAATCAAAATGTGTTTGTCGATTTTTCTAGCTAACTATGCGACAGATTCAATTCGGATATATCTGGAAAATAAAACAAATCAAGATGTTTTCAACACTCACCTCCAATTTTTCCTATTGGCTTTTTAAATGTGATATATAAATATCAATCATAATCTTATGTGTGGATTTATTCAATGTTAACCTATGTAATATTTTATTGACACAAAATAACTAAGTACAATGAAATTGAGCAAGATTTTAAGGGAAGACGGTTGAATTATTGCTCTTTCCTTGAACGGTTTCTCTCCTTTGTATCTCTCTTGGATCTTCCTTGTAATTTTGCAAGAGTATTTTTGAGTTCAATATTTTCTCTAAGTGTATTCTTAAGTAAATAGTTCAGCTGTAATTCTGATGATTTCCACAACTGTAGTAGTTCCCTTTTGCTGAGGTGATGGACATTTGGAGACTCCGCATCAGGGTTATTACGTGCACGCGTTGGATGTTCCCTTGACTTATTGAGATCTGGTTGTGATGTTTGCATAGAATGTGGACGATAATTATCATTATCATAAAGCTTCAGGTTTTCTTCACTTTCATTCCAATGTAACAAACCTGTTTCTTCGTCAATGTTTTCATAGCGTCGATTGTCATCTATATGAAAATCATTTATTTCGTTTGCAGACGTAGCAACCCGTCTACCGAAATCTGATTTAGTTTTTCCTGAAAATGAAGAAGACACTTCACAGAAATCTTCTTCCTTCCCCCCGCCATAACATGCTCCTAATGCTTCATGCTTGCACGTATCACAGCTACAGCTTGATTCACTATGATGAAGAGAACTGAAAGCTTCGTCTAAGTGTCTTTCATAATATGATCCAGTATCACTGTTCTCTGGCAGCCCATTTGATTGAGAATCACCTGCCACATGTTTTCCGGGAACATACCACATATCGTACTTGCTGTCAGATGTTCCAACTTTACATGTGTTCTCAAGACCACTCAGAGTTCTTGTATCCTCTGCCTCGCTATCGCTGCACTCTTCGTTGCTGTCGTCGTAATTTCTCACCGAGTCTACTTTCGGTAGGGACCTCTGGCATTGAGATCTCAAGGCCTCCAGGTTGACACAGTTGCTAAGGTTGCGAAGTGATATCCGCTTTATATCTACAGGTTCAATTGGCGAGTCATCGTGGATCAGACTCGTTGATTTCATATCACTCACCCTACAACAGACAAAAAAGATAGGAATACGTCCATACCTTTCTTATAAAGTTGGAAAATGTTGTATAAAATGTCTTACCATTTTGCTTTTTCCACGATGTCCAGAAAGTTTCGATTAATTCTCTTAGTTTTCGCCAAATCAGCCAGCTTGTTTTTCTGAGTGGAAAAAAAAAGACTGATTTATCAAAGGACACTCTCATTATGTTTTCTTTTTTTAATTGTTGTTGTTTTATTTAATTTGGAAAATATGTGACTATCACAAAATGCACAACTCAATAAAATCATCTCAATGATGTGCAAATATTGCGTACTCTGATGGTGCTTTTCATGAATAGCTTGGAAAAGTCTCCCTTTTTAACGATTCCTAACATTTCCTTGGCAGACTCTTGAGCGGATATTAAAACGGCGCTGTTGATGCTTCGATGTAGCCTCTGTTAAAAATATACAATATAAAATCTGCATTTCTACAATAATGTAAAAATTTTGGCTTAATTGCATGAACCACTTGATATTTTTCCACTTTTTCATTTTATTTGGAAATTTTGAATATCGTCAAACCTGACTAAAGAACATGACACTGAGACTTTTCCAGAAACTATCGCCTGGTCGTCTACGACATATGGGCAAAAGATATTTAAAGACAAGATGTTCCACCAGAACAAGAAGTATGCAGCAGACGATAGCGATGGAGAGGAGCGCGAAAAGTCCACTGTGGTGGGAAACGTTCAGACTGAACCTCTGTTCGTTTATTCCTTGGTTGAAACATTTCTCCTCATCGAAGTGAATATCTATTAAATTCTCCAAGTAGCCAGAATCATGATAATGCTTGATTTTCTCGGAGACTGGTTTCTTAAATATAAACCAAATATATATATCACCGCAAGGCATAACTATGCAAGAATAATTTGACTTGTTGCAACAAGTTTGGATGTTTATAAAAGCAATTGAATTGGGAATATGGAAAAAGCTATGTTTTTCAATGATTCTAATGACCTCGAATGTTAGCTACCTGGAGAGGAGAGCCTTTTGGAAATCCTATCCCATACTCATCTTCACCGAACGACTGGGGAACAATATAAAGATTGCAATTTGGATCCAGCTTTACACGAGCATAGTCCAGTATCGGATAATCACCTAGATAGGCGTCAATTTTTCCATTTCTACAACAACAGATTGAGAAATACAAGATACTTGATTCAAAGATTTATAAGTAGGATATCAATCAAACCCTTCCTATTCTCAACAGAAGGAACCCAAAAATGCTGTTAACATGCATGTACATGTATATCAATTGAAAAGGAGGAGAAAAAAACAGAGGTTACTAGTAACATAGGCCAATACTGGATATTCGCAAGATAGGAATCAATTTTAACGTCTTATTACAGCAAAATTAAAAGCTCAGAGTAGCAGAATCATAGAGCAATATCTGATAGGTATCCAGATAGGCAATTTAAAATTTTATTTTACAAGAAGATAAGCTATGGGTACTTATAAAATTTGTTGATACGCACAAGAGTATACTATAGGGGAAGTATCCCACTGGTGTGCATACCTACATCAACATATCAATGGCGTCGTTCGTTGTCGGGACGAGATGGTTTTGGCTCCTGATATAAAGCGCTTTACTGACGTTACTAGTCAGGGCCTCCACGGCGCTTCCCCCAAGAACTCCCACTCTAATTTCCATCAGCTACATTAAAAATAGTATTAAAAGATTATGATTCAGTATTTTCATAATAGATTCATCGAGTGGATCATTTGAAATTTGATGGTATCAACATGTGTTTGTTAGGAGAATTTTCGTATTTTGCTTAATTTTTTAATAAATACACGTCATCTCAATCAAATACAATCTTAAAATTTGATGGATCGTCCTCCCCAAGGGATCGATTGTCTATGACTGTATGTCTGCTTGATACAAATTAAATTTAGACCAAAACCTTCACACCAATAAATGGGTTAATTTAATTTAAGTATAGTGGTTTGCATTTTCTTGACATGTGTTATTATCAAAATCAATATCTTGAAATGTCACGATATAACGAGGTCCCAGCTTTGAAATAATCTGGAAGACAGAGAAGTGATATCAAGAAACTTTTCAACCTGAGAGTCAGAAAAAACATCTCTGAAAACACTAGAGTTGGGATCAGTGCCTTGGGGGAGTAAACATCCCCAGTGGATCGATCACAACCGTTGGATAAACGGACACCCGTAGTAAACAATGACTAACCAATGAATGTGTATGAAAGACGTCAGTAAAAATTCACACTAAAGATAGATTTGCAAAGAGAGTTTATCTTATAGTCCATAGAACCTGAGAAACGTAATGACACATTAAACGATACTCTGAGAACAGACTGGTCTGTGGGTAAAATAATGAAAGCAAACACAAGCTAAGAGCTAAAACCGCTCTTACATTAATAGACAGCGCGATTAAAATTGCATATGCCATGGAAATGGCTGGAACTGGAAGGAAAAATTAATTTTAGAACACCGAATACAACAGTCATCAGTGAACAAGTTAAAAGAAGAATATCCCTATACGCCAAGTTAAAAAAAACAAGCACCAAAACCGGCGGGAAAACGTCTTGATTGTTACACATATGATGGAAATCAAACAGTAACTACATGTAGATGACCAAAACCGGCGGGAAAACGTCTTGATTGTTACACATATGATGGAAATCAAACAGTAACTACATGTAGATGTTGTATGAATGAGTCTTAAGCGATGTGTGGTAACGCTCAAATTCTATCCAAATACCAATCACAGTGCTATCACGTTTTGTGTGATGAAATCCAATGAAAGTGGACATTGATTAAGCAGTTTCTCATAACTGAGTCAAACCTAAGAGATGCTTACCATCTCAAAGGCTTGGAATATAATATGGAAAGATGGAACAGTACTCAAGCTCAAAGTCCGTATAAACAATACAAATCGGAAGCAATTCAAATAAGGACCTCCCAAATCATCCGAGGTGGGATCAGCTGCCATTGAAGAGTGAGCATCCCCTGCCGACTGGCCACAACCACTGTATGCTCCATGCCATGATGGGGAAAAATCAGTAGACAATTTGTTGTGTAAATGACGGCCTCATAATAAGTATATAACGCCAGTTAGCATTTGGCTTAATAATAGGTTGACTTTAATGACCATTGTATCGACCATAAAAAATGCGAAATATCTTTGTTTCACTGATTTGTTTGTCAATAGCTTACGTCTTTTTGAAAATTGTTAATATGTAGAGTATGCTTTTGGTATAGAATCAACTGAGAGACATTAACCCTACATGCAGGTAAAATGGGTAAATTAGTACAAAAGCTAGGGGAGAGGGCGATTGAGAATCAGAATGTGTTATAACAAATTAATTTTGTAAAGGACCAATAACCGGTGAAGGGTTACAAATCTTTAAACATTTTGGGCTATCGTGGAGTCTTTATTTTGCCATTGCCTGTCGGTTTCAATCGAAGGACCTTCAACTTTTACTGCAAAGGACCGAGCTCGAGCGCTTAGCGAAGGAACAGTTGCCTTCTATTATCTAATCGACTTGGTCGATCAAAACTTCTTTAAAATGTTTACGAAGGCGATAAAGAAATGGAAATTATTTCAAGCAATTTTTCTGTGAGTATTACTATACTAGTTCCTACCTGCAAGTGAAATAACCCCCTAAAAATAAAAATGACTACAATTCCAGCAAAAATCATTGAAGCGGACCAAAATGCAAACGATCTGTAACTCATCAAGGTCCACTCATTTACAAATTTTCAGCTTTAAATACAATTTTGTGGAACCTTTTTATTGATCGAGGTACATGTAGTCTGATCTTAGACCACAGTAGACAAAATGTCTCATACAACGTACCACTTATTACTCCCCTTTGAAGATTTCTATAAAGGTTAAAACTCACCCTTGAATCGAACACGCTGCTGTAATCTATACCGCTGTGTTTTCCCGCTAGGAAAGCTGCCAAGTTTGCCGTATAGCTAGCAATGATGAAGATACAGGCAGAAGCCCAAAAATTTTGGAGGACTTTGCTTGGCCAAGATTTTGGGGACTTGGTACTGACTGTATGTCCGAACAACAAGGAGTAAACCATCGTCATACCCGATCCTAACGTGTAGTTTTGTTTCCGCTTCCTTCCCCAAGGATTTAGACCGAAAGGACTATTCCATTCAAACATCGACATGCCTACAGCAGATATAGTGGCGCTGATAAAGATCGTACACCAAACTTCGACGGAGAAGGGTTCAATAAATGCGTACATGTAAGTCTTTTGATTCTGTTGTATGTACAAGACCGTGAAACGTGAAAAATAGTACGGATAGGAGAAATCAATGGCGCTCATCCTACTTCCGGTTATACTAAATGCCGCTATGGCCATGTCAGCAATGCCATTAGTCAGGTCCCGCACCATTCCGTCCCAGGACCCATTGGTCATCTTTTTTCCGTAAGTTGTATCATGTACAATATACAATACGAACTCAAATTCTAGATCAGAGGAAAGTTTGTTCAAAAGATCTATGGCAAATCCACGGCAACACTTAAGTTCGAAGCCAATTGTATCGTTGTTATTTTCGAAATTCTGGATAATATCCAAGGTTTGATTTTTATCAGCAACTAAAATTTTGATACAACGTGTGCTTTGAATACATATATGTGTATCTTCAATTCCATCGTCTACCATTATAAAAGGTTTCACAGGATTAGTTACCACACGATATCGAACACGGCCATTTTGTAGATCAAGGGTTTGTTGCAAAGGCCAAAGGATTCCTCGTGGACGGACGTTCTCGCCTTGAACGTATCCGATTTCCTTCCACACCGTATTATTTCTATAGTTTTTAAGTGCCTTTATTTTGAAGCCTTGATTAGTTAAGTAGCCGTCGGGAGTAAAATCGAATAAAACAGAAAATCCTTGGTATGTAGTTTCCTTGAAATGCCTGCAAGTTGAAATTACCTTGAGATTGAATCTACTATTTTTACAATAACAGCCGAATAGATAAATTTGTTTTAAGTATTTTGAATCTTTTAAATTCAGCAACTAATCGTCGTAGCGAAAATAATACCAGAAAACTAAATGCAAAGCTCTCACTAAATGTAAAGTTTGCTATGATGTTTCCATTTTTGGAAAACTACCGCGCCTCGTGCAATTAATATAGAATACACTTTATTGATCTCCAAAAAGCTCAGATAGCCTTAATCTCTCCCGTGAGATTTGGTCCTGTCGCTTTTTAAAATAATAAATGAATCAATGATATAAATGATTATTTTGATTGAAAGCAAAATCATTTTAGACTCGTTCATTTGACGCTTGAATGCGTTTCACATTACGATGAATATTTCACAAATAACTAGTGTTAATTGTAACGGGGACCGTTACAGATGTTCCCCAAACGCTCCCCAACTCCCTTTTGGTGCCATATTCCCTGTAAGCTTCATTAAATAAGACAAACTCTATGCATCTGAGATTTTACATGTAACATCATTTACAAAGAAGTGTACAAAAATCATTTAAACTTTAGCATTTCACGCGTGCACATGTGAATGCATTTGATTCATGACCTTATCATCTTGTCTGCACAATCAATATTTTAATACACTGAATATTAAAGTATTTGATCCAAAATTATTTTAAAAATACGCTCATTCAAGTGTATTTTTGATTTTACTCATTTCACGTGCACGCACGTGCATACATGAGCATGGTGACCATACCTTCTTGTAGAAGTCCATTACATCTATCTATGTTCTAAATTCCACCCCGTTTGGGTGAAAACTAAGAGAGTTATAGCTGTTTAAAGTTTCAGCCAATCAGATTGTAGCACATGTACACACACGTGTATGCATGTGCATGGTGACCATACCTTCTTGTAGAAGTCCATTATATCTATCTATGTTCCAAATCCCATCCTGTTTGGTTGAAAACCAAGGGAGATATAGCTGTTTAAAGTTTCAGCCAATCAGATTGCAGCGCACGTGCATGCACGTGTTTTCATGATAATTGCTTTATTTCATGTTTTAGGATATCCTAATACATGGCTATGTTCAAAATTTCAAAGGATTTCGTCAAAAAACAAGAAAGATATTGAGACTTTAGTTGCAGCCAATCAGAGCAAAGTGCACGTGCATGCGCGTGAGATCTTGCTATTTTCACCATGTCGTCATGTCTATACTACTAATATATCCTCACATTATGAGTTTCAAAGCATTTCATCTAAAAATAGAACAGTTGTGGCTATATCTATTATATTGGTCATTTCATATGTTGCACGTGCACGCTCTTGCAAGCACGTGCACGCAAAATGACCTTGATTCCGCAAATCTACATAACATGTCTACTAACCCTAAAAAGGTTTTACCTACATCGGACGAACAGTTTACAAGATCATTCCCGGACAAAAAAGTTCCAGGAAGAAGAAGAAGAAGAAGAAGAAGAAGAAGAAGAAGAAGAAGAAGAAGAAGAAGAAAAATAATAATAATAACTAGATACGATCTCGTTGCGAGCAACGAGAGGTCTTCCGTCCGTTTTAGGAAAAGAAACCCACGTAAAATTGAGCTGAAAAGAGATTCAAAATTTTGGTCACAAGGAGGATTGAAACCATGTCGCCAACGTGAATGCGCTTTTTTTTTACTTTTATATCCCCAACGCACTAAACATTAAGCTATTGGGAGTACTGCTCTAAATATACTTGTGTATACCACGGTACTTTTGCAACAGTTCACCTATCTAAGAATTATAAAAAGCATTCATAATTTCGCGCCAAACCCCACCAGTAAATATTCGCGCCTTTTCCTTGGACTGATCTATTAGATAGGTATGATAGCATCAATTAAATTTTAAAAATAAAACATTCTTAGCGCCTTTATTTTATTTTGACGTTAAGAAAGTATATGTAACACATTATTCACATTACATATCGTATCTAGCCCAGTTACACTAAAGCAGTGAAACGGAAATTAAGTTATAAGATTGACACTCAATTGCAACGTACTACTGTAACGTGTCGGATCTGAGCGGTCAGTAGGTCCGTGCTCGGATTACCGAGTTTTACTGGGGATATGATTGAATGCAATATATACAGATAATAATATGACACCTGCCTGGTGTCTTTAAATCAAATGACCTAAGTGCTTTGTATAATTATTTATCTTCAGTTAATACCGGCACCTGCCTGGTGCCATATGATAATTGCCTCACTATACTCGTGCAACTGACTATAAAAGTCAACATCTATCTGCCTGGTGCCTCTTGATTTAACCTTTAACATCTGCCTGGTGTATAACTGCTTACCAAGTTGCCTATATAACTCTAGCCAAGTGGCTACAATATACTTACACAGTATGATTTAACTTTGTAAGAGCTTCTCTGTCCTAATGACAAACCTATAGCTACTGTCACACAGCTACATTTCAACTAGTCACTGACTACGGCAACTTTGCACAATCTTATTTGATCGATAAACCAATTGGTTTCTGTATCAAAGTGAAGACACAACCCAGTTTGCTGTACTGCCCCCTTGTACCTCAACTTAATCAATGATCATAAGTTGTCAGATATCATATTGATAAAATAAAACAGACTGTCTTTCTTTTGGCAACACTATTAATATTTTCTAACAGAACATCATTTATCAATAATACTTGTATAATTCTTTAGTCAATTGACCAATTAATTACAATATTTACATTGATTATCTATTATAATATAAACAAGTAACGGGAGGTAACTCCTCCAACCATTTCACTACGTGAGAGTCGAAGTAGTTTTTTACATTTCATGTATCCTTATGTCAGAATGGTTTAATCAAACGCTCAGCTGCCTCCATATACCCCTACTCGCGAAATGGCGGAGTTGACAGACACAGCCGCCATTTTGGACCCGCTTCAGATTTTTGAATGCAAATATCTAGACTTTAGATTTATCAACATTCAAACAAATTAAATAGTAAGCATTATAAGAGGGCTTCTATTACCATACCAAATAAAAATGAAAAATACTGAAAAACAAAAAAGTTACAAAATACGATTTTTTTAAATTTGCATCTCGTAACGACCGGAAGTACTGACGACGCACGAAAAGACGATTCTGCAATCCACAAAGTCATGATCTATCATCTCCAATAAGTCTCCAGTTCATATCCTTAGCCATTTTTGATAAAAGTGCGCGACAAAAACGCATTTTAAAATCAGGAAATTGTCCACAACTTGGCACCGGAAGCGAATTTTCCAAATTACTCTTCGGATGTAACAACTTCATATAATGACACATATTTTGTGAAAGTTTCATGAAAAACTACTGAATAGTTTTCGAGAAATCGCCTGCACAAAATTTTGTCAAAAAAAATAATAATAATAAGAATAATAAGAAACAGTAGAATCACTATAAGGTCTTCCGTGAAGACGGAAGACCTTAATAAGAAACAGAGTAAAAACAATATGTTCCCCAACTTCGTTTGGGGAACATAATTACCTATAAAAACGCTCTCCATACGTCAGGTCAAAAAGAGATTCATCAAAACAGGTTTTCCGAAAAGCACTAGGCAAAATACCATCACGACGTGCGCTGTGAATAACGAAATTCAAATACGACACACTGTCTGATATTACGTCATCCAATGACATCACGCCATCCTTTACTATGGCAAGAGTACTAGCGGGGTAAAACTTTAACAAGGATGTATCCTGAGTATAAACTTTTTCTGTCAGAAACCATTTTATTATGTTTGATTGGTTTGCAATTTTACACGGTAGTGACGTAAAAAGTAATATTGCCATCTTAGGGTCCACGTGGAGAAGAACAATCATGTCTTCCGTCAGGACTCGGCATATCTGCCTTCGTAGCTCCTCGGGAGTAGCCTTTCTGCTGACGATTAGTAAGGATACATGCCACAGCTCTGTCTGGTTTTGTGAAATCACTTTTCCGAAGAATCCGTCATTTAGTGATTGATCTTCTGTAATTATCAGAAACCTATACCAAAAATTGGCCCGGAAGAAAGTTAGCACCGCTCTAGCTGTCTCCTCGTGTGAATGACCGAGAATCAATAAAAGATCTTGTCGTGTCTACAAAGAGATACAATTATTAGAAAACTTGAAGTAACTATAACCATTCAAAAACGTGTAATGTATGACATAGAAAATTTGGCAAATGAATCATTTGCACTTAATAAACATGAGAGTAAAGATAAGTTCTTGGTACAATATCACAAAAAAATTAAAGTCTGAATGCTAATTCTAAAAGATTTTTGCACTGGACGTTTGTGATGTCTACAACTTAACTACTGGATGAGGAAAACTTCTTTTCCCTTTTTTTATTCCTTAGTTGCATCTGCAAAATTTGTTTAATGTGTTCCTTATTCTTTTTTTTTAAGTAAGTAGTTCATGGTTTGAAATAATCCCTGATTTGATAATACGATAAGAATCGCTGAAGTGTAGTTTATGTGCAAAGTCCTTAGATTTCATCATGTACTGTACTGAGGGCAGAACAAGCTCTTTGAATTTTGAATAAAAATCCTGTTTCAACCAGCAACATACTATCCTCGTTATGCAATATCCATAAAAAGATGATAAATGATTGCTTGTGCGCTATTTTAAGCCCGATTCGAAAATCTTTCACTCATATGGAGACCTCGCCATACATTTTATACCGGTGAAGGGCTTCAGATCGTTACTCAGCATTTAGAGCTATTGTGCAGTGAGGGATCTTTATCTTGTCATTACCTGTCGGTTTCAACCGAAGGACCCGCAACTTTCACTTCAAAGTACCGAGCGCTAAGCGAAGGAACACTTGCCTACTTTTTACCTTCTGATCACAGTGAGGGTTCTTCCGATTGAGCTTTCGACTGAATTACCGTGGCGATAGAAATTAAAAGAAGAAAATTTGGGTGGATAATTATCACAAAGTACATTTTTTATAGCTGGATTCCATCGTCAAAGACCATTTGCTCATGAGATTATATCTCACAGTCTATAAGTATTAAAATGGAGCTTGAAATTTAAAAGTTTGTTTCAATTTTCTTAATTTGATCTAACCTGTAATAAATAATTGATTTCTTTATTCGTTTAAAAGTTTATAAATACTCTAATAAGCGTGAAAAAGAACATAGTAGGAAACACAGTTCCTTCCCATTTACCAGTTACTAGTATTCAAATTGTTCTATAGATTTTTTTAAATTAATTTTGGAGATACTTCATGAAAATGATTCAATTAAAATAGTCTGCTATAGCAAAAATATAAGGATAAACAGATTAATTAGATAAAGTTGAAGGCAATATTAATGTTACAAACTGATGATTATCAGAACATAAAGAATGACAACCTTAATCACGTGATCAGACCAAGAGTGAGTTTATTTTGTTTTCACTTTGGCTCCAAGTGGCCAGTGGTGTTGGTTAGGATGAAGATTTACTATAAGACTGCAAGGAGCATTGAAAGCATCGATCTTTTTGGATTCCGTCTATCAATTATACGGAGATTTTGATATCGTTAAGGGCAGCTACCGGTCTTTGAAATGGAAGAAAAAGAATCCAAGGAGACAAAAAGATGCATAGCTATTTGGAACAAAATAAAGAGCAATAAAACCAGGAAGAATGAAGACAATCTAGTTCACACAGACGCTCTTCATTAAATCTAGTCCAGAAACGAATCGAGGATCAAGATGAACAACGTTAACGATGTAAGATGTTTGATTTTAGATTTCAGTACGCCATCAAAGAATTCCAAAAACAACCAATCAATTTTGTAAATTTGAGCAAAAGGCATTTGGGTAATCTCTTTATCTGAGCAAACAGAGCAATGTTTTACAATAAAATTATTTCATTTATAACATATTTGAATCCAACAATGTAAACTTTACAATTTTCAATTGAAGAACTGTTCAAGAAGCCGTAAAGAAACAAGACTCATTGAGGACTATTGCTTGTGGTGGAATTCTTCAAAACATTTGTTACATCTTTAGCCCAAATATATTTCTTCAGAAAATATTTTCAGTTATTATGTGCTTGGAATAATAGATATATTCGAGAAGTGGTGTAAATCAGACGAGGATACTTAAAAATTCCAGTGAACTTTTGGAAAAATTGAAATCAGAAGATTGTACCAAGATAAACGATATAAAAAACATACGGCTAATCATCTTTTTTACACAACCCTTCCCCACGATGAATTAGAATCCAGGCTTTTTTATTTCAATGACAACTGCTTTTTTCAGTAAAAATGGAATTTTTAATTTGACTAACCCTGTCATTGCAATTGGTCATTTGCAAAATTATTTTGTCAAAAAACATTCTGATTTTACACACACGTACTTTGAAGTTGACATGAAAAAGATTTTCAAGTTTCTGATTGACAATATCTATGTGGTTTTTGGAGACCACGGCTTCCAACAATCTACTGGAATTCCCATAGGTACCAATTGCGCCCTGTTACTAGCAGACCTTTCTTGATTCATATGTAGCAGAATTCGTCTAAAATCTTATTCGTGAAAGGAAAAAAAACACTTGCTGTGGCCTTCAACTCGACATTTAGATAAATCGACGGCGTACTGTCAATTAATAATTATTTTTATTTCAAAATTAATGTTTTTTCCATTCTTATGTCGATAAGATATATCCCGGTGAGCTTGAGATAAAAGATTTGACAGAGTCTGACATATCTGTTTCATATTTGGATATTTTGCTTGAAAAAGACGTTAATGGAAATCTAACAACCAAACTCTATGATAAACGTGATGACTAACTTTTTCTATCGTCAACTTTCCTTACTTATGCAGCAATATACCTTCATCACCTGTACACGGGGTTTATACATCTCAGTTGATTTGGTACGCAAGAGCATGCTCTACGTATGTTCAATTTCCAAAACGAGGTTAATTATTAACAAACATGTTGATGAAACAAGAATATCAGCAGTCTCGTTGAACGTCATCATTTCGAAAGTTCTATGGTTGATACAATAACCTTGTTAGCAAATACATGTACATTTATCATTGAGACAAATGCTGACTGATGTTTTTCAAACTAATTGTTACTAATTTGTATGCCATTATTTACACATTAAATTGACGACGGATTTTTTTTTCGTTATTTCCCAATCATGACAAAGAGCATACGGCGGGTGCGACTGGCCGGCAGGGAATCCTCTGGACACTCCTCCCTGGCACCTGATCCCATCTCTAATGTTCTAGAGGTCCGTGTTTGCCCTGCTCCTATTTTGTATTGTTTTATGTACGTTGGAGCTTAAATACTGTTCGTCATCTCCATATATATCATCTAAGTATAAAGAATAAAGAAATTAACTTAAGAGTTACAAGTGAAAAAAGGTCAAGTTTACTGCACCGTCAGCACACTGACCCCCAATTTTCTGGCGATTTTTAATGAAGCTATACATGCTTTATGACTATGTATCTTAGATGTACTTCTAAAAGATTTTTAAGGATAAATAACACAAACATTTTTCTTCAAAATTTCAGATATCCTTGCGAAATTAGGTGCTTTTCTCACATTAGAAGTGATATTTGTTTATTTAAACAACTTAATGTATGGCCAAGTCAAGCTTTACAGTTCACTGTTTTGTTGTTTTTTGTGTTTTTTTTTTCAAAGTTTATAAAATGTATTCATTTTTTCTACTTCAAAGTTTCTGTGGATATTTTCGTAATTTAATATTCTACTCAACTCAACTAAAATTTATAAATTACATTTCCGCTGAAAGAAATATTGAAAAAATATCAGTGTAACTCTTCTTTGTGACAGATAAGAAAATTTGTTTGAGGTATGTATCCATAAAATGAATATTTTCACGAATAAGCAAATTGAAATATTTTATTATTTTTGGGTTTTGTGTTTCCCGGGGTGAAATGATCATCTTAGATTTGTTTAAAAAAAAAAGATGTGTTTGTGAAACAGTGATGTCCCCTTGTGACAGGTGTTTTGCGAAGGTTGAAGTTTCTCAAATGCAAGTCAAACTCCAAGGTCAAGGGATAAAAATTTGTTACCTAAAGAAAGGACTTGTTTCAAGGAAAATACTGTGAATGTAGAAGCCCAAACACTAATCATCAAAAAGTTGTTGCCAAGGTTTTTTGAATGTTGGTCAAACTCCAATGTCAAGGTCAAAGGATCAAAGTTAAAGGTACCAAAGGAAAGGTCTTTTCATAAGAAATGCACCTGTGAAATAAAAAGGCCCAAGTAAAAACTGTTCAAAAGTTATGACCAAAGTTAAAGTTTTTCAGAAGAAGGTCAAACTTCAAGGTCAATGTTAAAAGGTCAATATTGTTGGTATTCGAAGGATGGCCTTGTAACATATAATGCACGTATGAAATATAAAGGATCCAGTATTAACTGCTCAAAAATTATTATTATTCTTTTATTATCAAGGATACATGTAAATATGAAATCTTTTAATACTGTAAATTAGAAAATAAAAGTTACAATTTATTCCAGCTTTATATTTCAAATATCAATTTTAACTTTAAAACAATTATTAAGTCAAAAGGAAGTAATCAAATTCAATGTCTGTCAGTTTCAGCTAAGGCATAAGTCATAGATAAGTGTTATAAAGAAAGGTGCACCTCATCAACGATGAAGTATGTTGACAATGATGTAAGGGTCATTTCACAGGGATTCGTGAAACGGTTAAATAGGAAGGTGTGACTATCATAATATAATATATAGTACAAAAACTAAAACACTAGTCCGGTGTCAAAGTGAATAATAACCTCAGAAATTAATAAGTCTGTGTCGTGAACGATATATTCTGTCTTCGTCTCCTTAGACGACCGTTATACACAATTTGTTGCGTCGTGGTATCATTCCGCCAATCAGCTTCTTGTGAACGTTTTCCCTTGCCTTTAGACTCTCTATATGGCAATGACTGATGAAGACATTGATCATGCTTAACGTATACATTTACGACTTGTGATTATACCTCTAATAGACATATTAATTATAATATAGCTCGAATGATATGTGCTAATTTACCATCTTGGGAATTCTAACTTAGCTCGGCTGCAATATCTCTTGATGATTATTGTTCTCTGACAATGACCTCATCTTTACTCACAAGTATG